GGGATAGTTGGGAAACATCTGGAGCCGGAATCTTTCTACATCTATCCCATATTTCCACTGACGCTGATAGAAATTCATTTTCCTGAATCTTATCTGATCTATGATGGGGTGCACTTCAAAAAATTTCCTCAGTGGTAACCAGGGAGAGGTTACCCCCCCCCCCAGAGCTCAATTGCACACTGCAGGGAAGGCACAAATCCTCCCCAGCAGACAGGACATGTGATGAGCTATGTCTTTTTAGCAGCGCACACCCGGGGAGAAAGGGGTTAAAGTCTTGGGTGGGGGGATCCAGGTTGGGAAATTCCTATTCTAGGCCCACCTGCCTGCAGAGGAGAGGAGGAGGCAGAGTGGGGCAGGTGTCAGTGGGGTGAGCAGGGCTTCCACTTCACCTCCCCTACCCACCTCTGCAACAGAGGGGACAGCAAGTGAGCTGGCTCCTGTTCCTTCTCCTTTGCTCACAGACTTTGAGGAGGGGCAGCAGTGGTGGAGCTGGCACCCCTTGCCCACCTGCCCAGCAGCAGTTTGGCTGGCTCCTCCGGCTTACATTTGCTCAGTCAACATAGTTCTGTTTTGGGGAGATGTAGCCCCCCACTTGATTTAAGGGGGGGGTCAGTTTTTTTCTGTAAACTTGAGGGATCTCCCATGTCTGCAGAACACCTCCTCTCTCAACTTGACCCCTGACTATCAATTTGCATGGAGGTCAGGTTCGGCATTAGATACAGGGTGTCGTTAATGACAAAACCGCAAAACAACCTCATAAAATTTGCAGTGTATTTTTACTTCCTGTTAGGTTTCTTCCTTGTCCATCTGACAATAAAACAAATCACACACATACACCATTGAATAACTATCGCTGTATCTTAAGACAGGGTTGGATAAGAAGCGTGTTGTGTGTTCAGGTAACCAAAATCCCTTTGCAAGAAAAGAGACATGCACAACGGGCTTGTTCCCCAGTTGTTTGCTGCACATTTATAATACCCTTGTTTGCTTGATTTTCATTGTAGTCCACACTTTAAGAAAGATGAAAGAAGCTGGAGTTGATTATGATTCTTCATCCAGGTTGTCTATAGGAATGCTTGCTGTGAACTCAGTGTAATTATCCCTTGATTACATGGTACTAATTAACCAACTCATGTAAGTAATGAAAAACGGCTTCATTAGAATTGAGATTTGAGATTTAATCCCTAATTAAGGCAATCCCTTTGTTCTTTGTGGTTCCCATTTTTCTTTGTCTTCCAGTTCTGGCGATTGCATGTAAGGCTAGCAAAGAATCAAACAACAAGGTAAACCATTTTCCGGCCATTTATTTTCCTGGCTTTGAGTCCCAGGTGACGTGAGTTTCTCCTTTCAGAATGACCATAGAGGACTCGGATGAAAAGTTCTGCATCGCTTTCAGGTGGTGTCCTGCAGGTCACAATAAACCACATCCTGCGGATCTTGTGACACAGAAATTTGACCACTTCCGCTTCATCGGAAGGCTCTTCGTAGACCGGTTGCTTCATGTCCTCATAGGAGGACATGATCACCGCTTGAAATAAATTGATCAGCACGCAGATCATGACCATCATAAACGAAGACAGGAAGAGACTTCCGAGCACCCTATTGGATGAAAAGGCCGTGTCTTTAAAAGCTGAAACACAGTACGCGAATACCGTCTGAGCAGAATGAATCATAGTATGGTAGTTCCATTCATATTGGCCAAATACCAGGTAGCCAAAGGCCATGTAGACAAAAAAGTACACGGCCACCACCAGCGCCATGGAGCAGATTCCAGGGAGGGCGGCTAACATGGAGCGCTGAGCCAGGCGCACATCGTAAAAGAATCGAGAATATCGCAGAGTTTTCAAAATGATAAGAAAGATCAAAAAACCCAGGGTAACCCTTATTGTTTGATCGACGTGGGAAACTTTATGGAATGGAATGAATTCATTTGGATGATGTAAGTAAAGCTCTATTAAGCTAGAAGCCAGCTTAAATTTGAAGGAAAGGTACAAAAGGAAAAACAGACAGACTGTCTTTATCCCGAAGTTAATTAAGTTAGAAATATTTCTGACGTATTTTAGTCTCTGTTGCTCCACCATGCAAACTTCATCAATGATATAAAAGACCAGCATATAAGCAACAATAATGTACACCAACTTTTGTGTGTTGCTTAGCTTCTGGAAAACTGGGAGTCTGTATGAATGGATTGACAAGCTTGTGTTAACAGGGCCTAAGCCAGACATCTCAAAAACAACTGAGATACTGCAAAATAAATCTGCATCTGAATTAAAAGTTGTCAGCTCAACTATTAATGCCCAGGTATTTTCATCCAGCCACCTTCTCTGTTCTAAAAAAGCAATTCTTTTTGTAGAATTGGTCTGTCGTTCTTCTGGATAGAAATGAAAAGTATACCCTCCTGCTCCATAAGTATTCATTTCTCCATATGAAGCATATCTCCATTGATCAGTGACTGAATAGTAAGTGTAGCCTGAAAAATTGCTAAAAAGGTTGGAATCTGATCTATTGGCAAAATCTGTCCACAGCCCAAGGTGATCTTGTCGATCTTCTGGGTCTTGTCCATACTTGTGAAGGCAATGGCTGTTTCTAATCAGAAATCTATTTACCAAACTGCGTGAGTGAAAGCATTCCTTTGACGTGTTTTTTGCTCTTATTTGTCGCATCCTGGGCAACCCCAGGATTTTGGACCAGGACTTTGAAAGATAAGTTGGGTGGTCTATGTTGTGGATCAAGTGTAGAAAGACATTCTTCAGCCAAGTGTAAACGTGCTCTAACTTGCTTATATCATCGAGCCCCCGAGAGAATTTGGTATGAATATCTTGATTGTAGTAAAAACTAGTGCTGTTTTCTATCGAGCAGGCAATGTTTAAAATAAGAATTAGAAAGATGAAGTGACATATGACATCCTTTATGAAAACAAAAGCTTGCCTTTGAATCTTCTGCTTTTTCTTAAAAAGAGTGATTTCCTCCTCTTCCAAGGGATGGTATTGCTTGGTTCCTCGAAGTCTGACTAGGTTGTAATGTAACTCTCGCATCTCATCAGCATCCATCGTGATATTGTCTAGTTTAATCTCTAAGTAGGTCTCTCTGCTGGACCATGGGATGTCTTCACAGAATTTTGGATAGACAGTCCTCAGGGTTGGGAAAAAACCAACATTCAAGGTCTGAAGCAAAAACACACTCGCACAAAATGAGATGCTAGATGCCACAAGCCACTCAAAGGACGTTTCATAGTCATAGGACAGACCATAAAATATGATAAAAAATGATGATACTGTCAAAGTGGCCAAGACCAACACCCACAAAACATACATATACCACCAGGAAATTATTATTTGTGGGCTTTTATGAAGGATCATGATGAGACTATTTAGCGGTTTTGTCTGAGGATACGGACCTTTCTTCTCATTTCTACTATTCAAATTGTTGGTGGCATTGGCCTCACGAACCACGTCCTCTTCCGTTGCAATTCTGTTTGCATCCCCTTCAGAAATGGTACAGTTACTCGTTTTTTTTGCCACCTGCCCCCATCTTTTTCTGCTCCGCTGTTCCAGACTGCGTGAATCTGGAGCACTGGAAGGGTCCTTTTGGAAATGATAGCCTAGACATTTTGGAGCCATTTCTGCAACGCACCATTTCTGCAAACCCTCTTTCCAGTTCCTAAGATTTCTAGACATGGGAGCAGAATATTTTTTAGGCTGAGTATTAGATGGCTCCTGTGGCAAAGGCTCCCGCTGGGTGTACTTGAACAAAGCAGTTATAAACATCTGCAAAGGGAAGGAAATGAAGGCACTTTGAATTCCCGTCAGTAGAGACCTCAGATACCATGGCTGTTCAGAAACCACTAGTTCGTCCTTGTCAGCGTCGAAGAACATAATGTTAAAGAACAGGATGCACAACAGTATTGCTAAGCAAGAAGACAATCTATGAAGCCTGTTAAAAGAACCGATGTTGCTGTGAGCAAAAACAGAAAGCCATAAGTGGGTCTCTCCCAACTCATAGGTGAGATTTATCAAGAAGAAATCCACTTTGCTTAAAGGTGTGGTTGGATGAGTAACGACAAAGGACCTCTCTATTAGACCATCATCCTTATTGAGCGCAAACCATTTTTGGCACATGAACATCCAAGATTGTTTGGTAAGCACATTTTGCACTTTGATTCTGCTCAAGAACCAGTTAGGAGATGAACCTCTATTATTGTGCCAAGTGCGAAAGGAATAAATGTCTCCAAGGTCATTCTTACTACTCAGGAGAAAAGTGTTGACGGCTCCACGCGCAAGAGTTGGGTATTCAGGGTGTCTTAAGCAATGTATATCACTAGCACCCCGGTGGCCTATCAGCTGAATGAAAACGTCGGCTGTGGTTCCTGCTCCGAAGCGACTCCCCGTATGTACTGTGACGAAGTAGCATACTTGGTCGTAGGGATCATTGTCTGATAAGACTATGACACGATCCCTGCTTTCCATATCAGCCCTGTCTTTCCTTGTTGTCCAAAAAGCCAAGCAAATGTATATGACAAAAATGAAAAGTACTGTCACCGTCGTTACTGGATTGTTGTTGGTTTGTACCAACAAGACTTCCTTCATATCTACCGGATCAGGGTACACATTGATTTTGCCAGCCAAAAACCTTATGTTGTTTTTGGACGTTCTTCCTGGTTGAGGACTTGCTGTCCTTGGAGTCCTTTTTTTGGCTGTGCAGATGCAATGTAACTTCTCCCAGCTCGTCTGAGAGCCAAGGCTGCAGACATCTTTTTTCCATTGACCCTGGATTCCATCTAGGGATAAGCAGTCGGCAGTAAAAAGCCGGATACCAATGGCCTGAACGCTTGGGTCCCACTTGAATGGATCTGATTGTAAAACAATAGAGACGTTCCATTTTTCTGCACTGTTACCTTGGAAAATGGATCTGAGCAAAGAGCGGGAGAGACAAAATATATAAGGGGCTTGAGCTGCACAGTCATGGCCCTTAGACTTTGTTCCTCTCGTTACTGTGTTCTTGTTATGGGAAACACTGAAAGATGCAACAGGAGGATGGCTGGTATTGAGGTCTAGATAAACAAACATTTGGAAAGTAAACTTCAGTTCGGTCACAATCTGGATGAAAACGTCTTTGGAGTTCCTAGGTACTTCAAAACTAAAGCCTCCAGTCGTTTTGTGGCATCCTCTGCCGTGTCCAATCTTCAGCTCAAAGATGGCGGGGCCCTTGTCTTTTCTAGGCATGATCATTTCAGCTACTTCAGGTATGATCCCCACTGTGTCACCATTAGATCTGGTTCCTGTCATTTTGAATCCAGTCACCATTGTGCTCATATCTTCTGAAAGGGACAACCAGGAGAAGGGGTTTCTACGAAACTCAAAAAGAACAGTGGAGATTGCAGCATCTGATGGCAACTCATCATGACTCTCTGGCTTGATTTTAGAATAAAAGCAATTCTTACAGACTTCTCTGTTAGAGAAAGTACCAGAAACATCCCATTTTTCATCTTTCCTAATGGTGATGGTCCAATCACTGGTTTCTATAAGAGTTTCATTTTCTCCAGGAACTTTACCTTGTAAGACGAGTTCTGCTAAAATTTCAGCGGCAGAGAGAGTTTCTTCCACTCCATTTCTATGGACATTTCTGATGTCTAACAGAGAGGCTTTCAGGATATTAGACAGCCCTTCAAAAATACCGGTGCTGAGAACTTCTGTCTCCTTAGAGCCTATGTTTTTATCTCTGTACCTTTTCAATTCTTCACTCAGTTCTTTGAGCTTTCTGACTGCAAGGAGTTGTGATTTCCTATTTACTTCCGTGACTTCCTGAGTTATTTGAGAAATTCCTGAGACCATTTGGTTTAGTTCCATTACACCTTTTGCAGGGATTCCTGCAAACCTGTTCAGAAGGATTTCCCGTAGTTTAGTCTTAGAGGAGTGAAATCTTTTCAGCGCTTCAATGTTATTTAAAGCAGAAGCCACCATGTAGATGAAATATCCCGCATTAAAGTAATCCCCACTTTCAAGAAAATGTGTTATTGGAGCCTTTGGTCCACTGGAAAAATTATGTAATTCATTTAGAGTAACCTCTGTTTGCTTACCCTTGAATGGACCGTGTACCTTTGCCTGTAAGGTTAATTGGGAAAATGCTCCAAGGGCATCATATACCTCAATATAGATTGGCAAGGCATATTGCTTAGAGGGGATGCCAATGGGTAACAAAGATGGTGGAATTTTAGGCTGATAACCAGAATACACAATTGTCCCCAGGTTGCTGTTTTCTGTAGAAGACTTTCTGGTAATTGTTAGGGTGTGTGATGCTGCTCTGATTTTATATGTAAGAGGCAAATGTTTATCTTTAAACCCACTACAACGAACAACAAATTTTGTTAGAAATGCAATCCCTGTGGTAGGCTTAAGCAAGCACTTTCCAATCTGAGGTGGAGAATTTACAAAAAATAAATAGCTATAAACGGATGTCTGGTATCTCCAGATGCTTGCTTTTAGAGTAAGAATGTATGTCTCTTCTGTCATATTTACAAAACTCAGTGATTTTATACATATGTAAGGACTGGACCTTCCGGTTGTAGACTTGGCATCCCAATCAAAATTTACCTCAGTGAAATTTGCCATGAGAAGTGACCAGTGATAGAGTGGTTTGCTCAGTTTCTTACAGTTTGTGCACTTGCCAGAGAGACAAAATCTTTCAGTGGGAGTGACGGACCTGCCACAATTTTCAATGCATGTGATGTTCAGAGCTGGCACAGAGCTTGGCTGTACACGGACCGTTTGTTCTTCCCGAGCTATCCTGTCACCCTTTTGAACCACAAGGCAAAAATAATAAACAGAATTTTCTTGAAGTGCTTCAGGCGGCACTGTTTGAACTGCATCCAAGGATGTTGTCCATTTCAAGCCCTCCTGATCTGGGCGACATTTTCCCTTCAGACTTAGCGTCATAGATACATAGTCTGATTTTTGCTTGGTGCAGTACCAAGTAAACGTGAGTCTTTCAGAAGGAAAGGCAGGATCACCATCATAGGAAGAGGATCCATCTAGGGTCCATTGATCCGAAAATCCAACTGTCCGGAAATTGCCTCCAGTAATGACGGCCACAAGACTACCAGACCCAATCTGGACAAACACAGAATCAGAGCCTTCTACACTCTCCAAAGTATCCACTGTGATTAATTTCACTGTAAAATTAAAGAGATACAAGCCATCATCTAAAGTAGAACCAGGAACTTCTAACATGACGAGATCTAGCCTTCCAAAGCCAGGTGGATAAAAAGGTTTTGACCAATCAGGAGTAGTCTTCATGTCTGAGACCTTGTAGATTTTCCAGATGTTGTGTCTTTGTTTAGGACTTGGACAGTTCATCTGTATGTCAGCAGACAGAGTAAATGAGGTCCCTTTACTGTACTTTAAGACACGGTTAGAAATATCAGGTTTCCATATATTCACTTTCTTGATAAAACAATTTTTTTGAAGGCAAGCAACCAGGGAGTTGCTTTCCTTTGAAGCATAAGTGTTGATCGTAGCTTTCAAAACAGCCCATATCAATCGGCTTCTGGTACAGTTCACTTGGGCTACAAAGCCTGTGTACAAGACAGGATTGAAAGGTAAAACAGAGTGAGGAATAAAATGGGTAGCATTTTCTACACGATCCCTGTATGTGTAAGTGTTGTTCTGTATGAGAAACTCATCTCTTGAATCAAACAACTGCAACTTGAAGGTCCACTCATTCTGCAGCAGCGGATGCTGGATGGGAACGAACCACACAATATAGATCACACTTTGTAAAAAAGAAGGACCGCTGTTGAAAACATGAACTTCTATATTTTTCTCGGGGAAAGACTTCTGTGAAAGGACTCCCTTTCGGTTAAGGTACAGATGTACGTTGAACTTGTACCATTGCAGTTGGAGAAACTCAATGGTAAATAGGTAGGAGATGCTTTGTTGCTGGTAGAAAAAGTAGTGTATGCTGGACAGGTCACCAGGAGCACTTCCTTCTTGGGTGGCATAGTACAGGTCCTGGGCAGGGCTAAAAAGGTAACTGCCCGTCTTGATTTTGCGTATGTTGAGAGTGAAGTGAGATGGTGGCTCACTCTTAGATGTTAGACTTAAGGTGGCACCAGAGTACCTGAGTTCCCCTCTCAGCTCGCCAGTACCCCCTTCTCCAGTGCAAAAGTATATGCCAGCCACTACCTTCTTCCTGGAATGCTCTGGAATACGGCCAACAGAGTAATTGTTCTGCAGAGCGTATGGATTGTAGGAGGTAAACCAGAACCCCCCGCTCTCAACATCCAAGAGCCTATAGGCCATTGTTCTGGGGCTTACAAGTAAGAGGCTCCAGGACAGGCTGATGGTGCTATGAGTGATATGGAGCCATTTGGAATTGGCACTGAGAATGTGTACCAGAATGGGTTCCACTGGAAAGTCCGGGCTAAAGCTGGCTTGAGGCCTATGCTTAGTGCGGAGGGAAGCGACATGTAGTCCTTGGTGGGTATAATGCACAGTCAGGTGGTAGCTGAAATAGGAGGTGCACATGCGGTACAAGTCACCACTATGGTAGTGTGGAGAATCCAGGCGGGCAGCGGGGAGGAGCAAAGCCACAGGTTCATCTCCTTGACTGCTGTAGCGGGAGGGCTGTCTTGAACTGTTGAGTTGGGCACACCAGCCCAGCTGGACCGGTTGTTGTTCTTGGGTAGGACGTGTGGGTGTCCAAAGCAGGAGCAGCTGGAGATCCTGGCCAAACACTTCAATGCTCAGGCTGCGGTGAAGGCACGAGGGCAGTCTGCAGGAGAGCGATACACACCGTACAGGGATGCGGCTGGAGTCCCAAGGCAAATGTAAGGCTCTTCTTTCTAGGCTGGAGCCCGGCAACCACGAACGTGGCCAGAGAATCATGCTGTGCACCCAGGCTGACCCCCAGTACCAGCTACAATGAGGAGAAGATGACAAATCTGTCTCTCCCCTCCTAATTCTTGAAACAAACCCAGCGTCTCTCCAGTAGTACAGCTTGGTGTCTCCATCCCACAGACATGAAGTCCAAAGAGTGTAATTTTGCTGCCGAGAGAAACGCGTTTGTTGGTCTGAGCAGGTGACCAGCAGTGGTGGTGGCAGTAAATGAGGGGCCACGGCTGCTGGATACTGGAAGCAGCCCCAGTACCAGAAGAGGATCAGGGGGTACAACATGTGGTGCATTTTAGGGTGATGCAAAAAGCTGGAATCAGGAGCAGTCCCTGGCTCTCAGCATCCCCAACTGCCATAGATGAAACATTTACATGGATTCTAGAATGCCATGCGTTGCTGGGAAACCAGGGTCCCTACTTCCCTGCCCCTCTCAAAAAGCCATGTCTCCCATCCTTTGCCCTCTTTGTAGCCCTCATAAAATATTCCATTTCATCTCGCCTTCATCTGAAGAAGCCATGTCCTTATTTGTTTACGTACACGTTTTATTACAAGTATGTGTGTGGTCGTGCACACTCACACAAACACGCTTTGGAGGACACCGCCAAGAAAATCCCACCTCCTTTTGAAATATTGTGCAGGGCTCTTTTTGTAGCAGGAACTCCCCTGCACATTAGGCGACACACCCCTAAGGTAGCCAATCCTCCAAGAGCTTACAGAGCTCTTCTTACAGGGGCTACTGTAAGCTCTTGGAGGATTGGCTACCTTAGGGGTGTGTCGCCTAATATGCAAAGGAGTTCCTGCTACAAAAGGAGCCCTGACTAGCCAGTAGGAATGGAAATGGATAAATGTTTGCGGCTGCGTTATACCAAGTTAGACTGTTAGTCCATTGACTGGTGGTGTCTCTCCAAGGTTTCAGGGATTCGAGCCATAGTACCCAAGGTCCTGTGTCAACTGAATCTGAGACCTTCTCCGTACAAAGCATGGGTTCTCCCACTGAACTGTGACTTGTCCCCAAATGCAATTGAAAGGGTTGCGCTCTATGCCTTGGGAGTTGCTTGTAAACAACACTTTTTAAAGCATGACACATACAAGACCATTTTTAATATAATTTGATTTTTGTAATATACAAATGTATGCTGACTGCAGTATTAAGTGTGGGTGGGTCACTGTTATGTAGGGAGGGGTTTTTTGGCATCTAATGATCTAGGGAGCTCACCAATGCAGCCTCTTACAGCCAGGACTGGGGGGGGGGCAGGGCTCACTTGGCACTGAGTGGCACCTGCTGAATCCTGAACTGCTGCATGGCATGTGGGGTTTGACATCTCACAACACAGGGCTGTGTGAAATGAAAGGCCAGAACATGGCAGCATTTGCCAAGATTTGAGCCCCTGCCACATGGGCAGACTACATAGGCAGCCCATTAGATAATGCCCTGCTGCCTTGGAGGGGTGAGATGTGCTCAAGATCCCCAAGGCCTCTGGAGTGGAGAGAAGGTTTATGCTCACCCTATTCCTTCTCCTCATGTTGGGATGCTCCCAGTGTTCCCACTCTTGTTCTCTCTCACTCTCAGCTGCTTCGGTGAGGACCTCCTGTTGATCCCCGGGCTGTGAGGGTTTAAAGATGCCTTCACAGCCCTTGCAGTTCCCACCTTCCCTCCCTCGGCCTGTTGGCCTCTCAAGGTCTCCCCGCCACTCCCCCTGGAGTTCCACCACAGAAGCCCCTCTTGCCAAGGCAACCATGCCTCAGAGGGCCACCATCTTGCCCAGGGGTAGTGTTGCCGGGGTGTGTGTGGAAGAGCCAAGGTTGGCCTGGTTGGGCCACAGGGGGCTTGAAGGGGGGGGGGAGCCAAGGCCGGCCTGGCTGGGCCGCAGGGGCCTTGAACGGGGGGGGAGAGCCAAGGCCGGCCTGGCTGGGCCGCAGGAGGCTTGACCGGGGGGGGGGATGGGAGAGCCCCAGGTGGCCTGGCTGTGTGTGTGAGACTTTACTTCCACTTCTGTACCTTTCTATGCATTCATTACGCATCACATCTTTCTAGAGCTCGTTTTATTGCTTCTACAATGGGCTTTACTGCTAGTACTTCAATAAGGCTGTTATAATCAGGTCCACAGGGATGGAAAGCAAGGCACTTTGAATTCTGATTTTTATGGATGTCACACAACTCAGATATACTGAAATGCTACCTTTATTCTTCTCAGTACTGAAGAATATGCTGTTAAACAACACAGAACTCAGTAATATTGCTGAGCAACAGGACATCTTCTTTAGTCTGTTGAAAGAACCGTCAATTTCATGAGTAAAAACAGAGAGCCACAGTTGGCCACTGAACAAGTCATTGGTCAAACTTTATGTCTAAGGGTCCATTTGGATCAGAAATGACAAATTACCTTTCTGTCCCACAGTCACCTCTGCCAAGGGCTGGCCGTTTTCTACACGTAAACAGAACTTCTCTCCCCCCCCCCCCAGTTTTAAACACTTTAAAGTGGGGGTGGTGTCCCTGTTGCAGCCATGAGGGCGCCATCAAATCTAGTTTGGCCTTAACACTCAACAGGACACACAGAAAAAATTGTTCACTATAGTTTAAGAGCGCATAAAGAATCAGGAGTCATATGAATAGCAGAAGTAGAAATAGTTGTGAAGTGGAACAGACGGCAACTGAACATGACAGCATATTCAGACAAATTCCATGGAAATACAGAATTTATTCATTTTTTTAGCAGTGTTCTTCTTAAGTGGAAAGAGAAATCATTTTCCTGCCTTCCACTTTTGTGCTCTTGGTTTTCCAAATATTATACTGTTCAGAAGGTCACTGTTCCTTGTGGATGGTGTCTGATGAGTGATGAAAAACCATAGACTTTGGATTTTATAGACTACAAAATCTACTGCTGCTGCTTCATCAGAATGCTGTTCATAGGTAGGCTTTTTCATGGATGTGTAGGTAAAGATAATTACAGCACGCCATAAACTGATGAGAACACAAGTAACTGTAAACATGAATAAGACTCGGAATGAGATCCCCAGGAATGTATTGGATGGAAACTGAATGTCTTGAAGTGATGCCACATGAATACAATATGAAACAACGGTCTGGGTAGCATGAATCACAGAATTATAACTCCATTCGTATTCGCACAATAATAGGTATCCAAATGATATGTGTACCAAAAAGACCAGACCAGTAAGCATGGTCAAGGAAACGAACACTGGGAGAGCGGCTGCTATGGTGGCTGCTGCTAGACGCACATCATACATGAATCTGAAATAGCGATAAGGTTTTAAAAGCAGAAGAAAGGTCAAAAATCCGGCAACCATCCCATAGAGCTGATCAATTTGAGAAACCA